ACACAAATGATGAGCTGAAGCCAGTTGCCCTGGATCTCCACCGCCTCCGCCGCCCCCCACCCCCGCCGCAGGCTCCAGGCAGACCCCCATGTCCTCGACGCCCACCCTCAGTTGAACCGCGAACGCGGGGAAGAAAATTAAGCATCATCCGCAGCACCAGGCGGCGTCTCTAAGATCATCCGGCAGGTCCAATGAGGCACCCCTGCGACCATCACGCGGGGCTGCTGATTCTTGGAAATTCTGTAGTCCAACGAAGAACTTTTCTACCACTTGAAGCCATGTTCAATCGCCATCCTTCTGTTTGGGCGCAACGACCATACCTTCCCCCTCTTGCGTGGACCCCTTTGCCTGAGTTCCTCCCTTTCCAGACTGCCCCCAGCAGATCCCCCTTTGCTTCATACAGACAGCCCTCCTCATTTCGTCTCCCCATTGCTGGGATCGCCTGCGCTCTGCCCCAAGTCCTTCCTCGGCGGCCTCTGCTTCTGCCTCTCGCACCTCTTGAACGCATTTCTTACACCGCTCGGTCATCATATCGATCTGATCCTTGCAAAAACTCCTGGGTTCGCATTGGGGGCTCAATCCCAGAGCTCGACTTCTCGACTGCCCTATCGCCACGGGCTGAGCCTACAACGGCGGCGCGCTTTCCCCCAACGCCGCAGGTTGAACCTGCAACGCGGAAGAGCTCGCTGGCGAGCTTGGGACAGACCCCTTGGGGCCCCACGGGCTGAACCTGCAATGCCAAACGATCCCCTCGCCTAGCCATTTCACTTAGAGGTCGTTTATCTTACAAAGTTTTTAATTATAAGTGCGCCTGTGGCTGCCGAAGCATACATGCACTAACGTCGCCCATGTCCTCCTTCGTTCTCCTCGCGTTTTCGGCGGCAGCTTGCCCCCAGAGAATCCCCGAGCGCACCGCGACAGACGCGCGCCCCTCGACATGCGGTTGAATGCAGCAGCCGGGGCCGCCCTCTCCAGGAAGACCACTTCAGCCTTCTGTTCGGAATTATTTACTGCTTCCTGGGCAGCCAGCAGATGGTTCTGCATCTGATGTTCTTCTTTTCAGCCATTCTCCCCGCATGTCCCTTTTCCTCTTCCAATCTCATTAGTTTGGCAATCTCTTGTATTTCCTTCATGTTACGTTCAGCTTCCATCAGAGACAGTCGAGCTGCCTCCGAGGTCGCTTGACTACTCAGTTGCGCCTGTTGCACGGGCAGTAACCACCTCTTTCTCTTGCTGTGCCTGCCCCAGCCGCTCGCCCTGTTGTCGTTTTCTTTTGCATGTGAACAATGATCTGGTCGCGGAGCCCCTGTTCCCAAGCGGCGGTTCTCAGCTCGGTCCTGTTGCCCAGCCACGGCGGCGAGATGCCGGCAGTTGTGCTCTGCGAAAACAACGCAGTCGGAGTACAACCAACGAACGCCACAGTGCTGACAGACGCGGGAACAGGCCCCGCGCGCCGAGCGCAGGCACAGACAGTCGGTCTTTCCCGCCTTCCCAAGGCATCGACTCTCTGCCGCGGCCTGGCACTGCAGCCCCGGCGCCCAACAACGCACACCATGATTGAGACACGACCTGACCATGCATCACGAGACGGACCATTGGAACCGCGATTGCTCCAGGGTCTCTCACGAATTCTCGACACACTCGGGGAGCTAAACTTGTGACGCCCAGCGTTTGTCGGAGGCGAGAAGGTCCACCTGGCGCCACCTTCACTTCTCGTATCACTGGACAACGATTGGCTTCTGCTAAGCCCCCAATTAAACTGAAAACCTGCCAAGGCGAATCATGGCCCATGTTGATGTCATCCGATCGACCGGGTCGCTTCGGTACTGGGGTTTCCCCGGCATTGTCTCTCATATGTTCTACCGAGAACAATGGTACGCGTTCTCCTCCGTTGATCGCCGAATGCAGCGTCCTTATTCCGGAAGATTATACGAGGGCGGATAGATAGGTCGCGCTCAACGTCGCCATCCTTGGCTGTTAAATGAACCGACGCCGAAGCCTCTCCCAGAGCTTGGGCAAACGGGTCATCAATGAGTGATCTTGGAACAATATGTTGGGGTGGCTGACCCTACAAGTTAGAGACGACGTTGTTTCCAAAGCCTTCGGCCATGGCAAAGTGTGCGTTCGTGCCCGAAGCTTCGTTTATATTCATTTGCGCACCAGATGCAACCAATGCCATATCGGCTGGTAGCGAATGTTTGACATAGGAACGGAGTCCCTTGCAAATGTGGGGTGTGACGATGATTTAATATCGGTATCCTGAATGCTCTGGAAATCATGTATCGACATGGCGGTAGTGCCCGTAAAGCTAGAATGTGCACGATATATGCACGGGAAGGGGAGACGACGACACCGCGACGACCTGGCGCGCGCTCCCTTTTTTACCAATGCGCGCGCAGGCCCGCGGTGCCTGCTTGATACACACAAAAAGGTGCAGACGCGCAAGACGGCGCGCCGGCAGAGAGCGGCAACGGCGGCACAGAGACGGCGGAGGAAGAGGTCTAACAACTCTACGACCCACCAGCCAGGCACGGTGGCGAGGTGGGCCGAAAGCAATAAGATAGATTCAGAACAGGGCACCACATCGCGCCGTAGCGAAGCCTTCAGAGCGCCGATGAGGGGCCGCCGTCGACGCTTTCATCATACCCGACACTGGCCATCATCCCTGTTGGCTCGTTGCCAGAAGCTCTGGGTCAAGTCCGCTCGCCCTGCCGCCGCTACACCGTCCTTGCTCGCAAGGTCGGCGTCTGCGCTTGACCAGGCGCAACGGACCCTCGTGTCCGTCCTGCGCACGCTGGCGGCGGCGCACGCGTCCGTCGCGTCTGGATGTTGAACCCCGGACTCGTAAGCCTCAACAAAGCCTCCACGTTGGCCGAGGCCCCTCGACGACGAGGAGGAACCTTTCATCATCTGCAGCATGGTCCTGCGAATTCAAAGCTGGAACAGTGGAATAGGATAGCGGCTGCAGTGCGAGACAATGTGATAAATGGCGTGAGTCCGACTACGAATTATTGTTGGTACGTAGCTCGTCCTGTTTTGCCAGCGTGAAAGAAATCGTTTCAAAAGCGTTGGCTAGTTGAGGGGTCGTGCGAAGTTCTGGGACTTGGTGAAAAGCATCAAATGGATTCGGCGGTTCGCTGGGTGGTGGGACAGCCGTCACTAGTCGTGTAAAGGCAGGTCGTGGGGTGGATGCGGCGAAGAGTGGCCGTCATTGCAATGAGGATCCTACACGATTAGACTGGCTGAATGTGTCTAGGGTTGCGCGCTTGTGTCTAGGGTTGCGCGCATGTTCAGATCAAATGGTTTGCTTGACTCTGCAAAGGCTCCGACTCCCAAAAAGTAACAGCAACAAGTAGCAGAAACCCGTCGCCAGGCCAGTAGTGGGTCCTGTGCACTCTTGCAATATGTGTCACAACGTTTCTGCCACGCGTCGGACTGCGCCGATCATAGGAATTCCTCAGCGAGTTCATCTCTGGCATTTCGCGTCGGAGCCTCGTGCACCGCATGCTTGATGTGTGTTTTGCAGCTGCTGGGTAAACCAATCGGCGCCGACTCTTGAAAGCCCCACTCCCTTGATCAATTGCAGCTCCCAAACAACATGAATCTCACTGCGTCGGTCCTCTTTCTCATCCAAGGTCTGTTCAACTGCTGCGCGCCTTCCACCCAACACCAGTCTCTGAGCGACACGCCTTCGCCAACACAGCTTCGGTGCTCGTGGCCGCAGACACAAATGAGCTCCTCCATCCCGCCGTGCGCTCGGTGACGGCGAGGGCCTGCTGAGGAGCAGGACGCGGTTGGTCCACGTGGGCTTGATCGGTGGGTCGAGGCTGCTGCTGATGCGGAGCGGAGAAGAGTGCCAGAGGGCCGAGGTGTGGCAGAGATGGCACTGAGTCGTTGCTGCCGTTCGCAGTGAAAGTGGCAGGTCGTCTTAACCGTGATTGGATCGTGCGCAGGTTCGACAGATTGCATGACAGCCAACTTGTGGCTGTTGGCGTCGAGGAGCATATGCATGATCCGAATGTCGGAGAAGTGCGCTTAGTTCGTCGGCAGGTGTGAACAGATCGGGTGTGCCGTGGCTGGGCTGACTGGCTGGCTTCACTGGTGGCACTGGTGCTGGGGGCACTGTCGGTACGGTGGTGTGTGAGCTCGCTGTGGGGAAAACAGAACTCGTGGGCAGAGTACGGGTAGGAATTCCGAAACTTATCGTTTTCAGCATCTCCTACGTGAGGGAAGCAGCGCAGCAAAGAAATGGTGCAGCCCGTCGAGTGTCGTGAAAGGGTACAGGATCTGCGCTAACTGGAGCGTGAGATGGCTGGACTCCAGAAAGGCGGAGGGCGGGAGGACAGAGGAAGGAGGAAGGACAAGGGAGAGGAGGGAGAGGGAGAGGAGGGAGAAGGGAGAGAGGTGGAGGGGAAAGGGGGACAGGCCGGGGAGAGGAAGGGAGGAGGGGGAAGGGGGAGGGGGCGCAGAAAGGAGGTGGGGATGGGGACTGGCCTCGGGACCGCCTCGTGAGTCGACCCAGCAGGGAAAAGCCTGTGCGTGAGATCGGGGGTGGGGTGGAGAGCCCTGGAGCGCCCGCGTGACAGGCGGAGACGCAGGTACCTGCGGATGCCCCTCGGGGCGGGGGCCGGGGCTGGGGTCGGAGCCGAGGCCGCGGCCGAGGCCGAGACCAGAGGCGGGGACCGGAGCTGAGGCCCCTCGCGGGCTTCCCGCCAAGCAGGGCAAGGCGCGGCGAGCACGCGAGCGCTCGGCGCCGGCGCTTGCCGCCGGCCGCATGGCTCTCAGGATGAAGGTCCAGCCCGAGCGCATGCTCTGCCGGCGTCAAGGCGAGGCGAGGTCCAATCGCAAGCGCACTGAAAAATTGCGCTAATATGCCAGCAGAGACATTTAAAATCCTCTCTAGCACATGAGACTGGAATACACATACTAGACATCCTGAGGGCCTGCACGCAAACAGTGAACCTACGCTCACCCACGAGCAGTCAGGCGATGTCAGAACCTTACACCTCCACATTTGTGGTCTCCTTCCAGGCGCCCTGATCAATGCGCTTCATCATCGCCTTGATCTGCTTCATCGGACCACACTCGTAGAACTGCTTGACGCCGTCCTTCATCATGGCCGACACGGACGGCGTCCACAACACCGGGCTGGTCAACTGCTTCTTCATCAGCTCCACGAACTGCTTGGGGTCCGAACCGGCAGGCAGGGGCTGAGCGTTCACGTTGAAGTAGACGCTGCAGCGCGGCGGCTTCATGTTCGGGAGCGCCTCGTCAAGGGCCTTGATCAGCTTCTCCTCCGCCCGTGTGACGACGACGACGACGACGCGGACGCCCACGACGACGACAACGACGACGACGACGACGACGACGACGACGACGATCACGACGCCGACGCCGACGCCGCCGCCGCCGCCGACACCGACGCCGACACCGACGCCGACGACAACGACGACGACGACGACGACGACGACGCCGACGCGGACGCCGACGCCGACGCCATCGCCGACGATGACGAGGACAAGGACGAGGACGAGGACGAGGACGAGGACGAGGACGACCACGATAACGATAACGATGACGACGACGACGACGACGACGACGACGACGACGACTACGACGATGACGATGCCGAGGACGAGGACAAGGACTGCGACGACGACGACGACGATGACGACGACGACGACGACGACGACGACGACGACGACGTCGGCCACAGACGACGCCGACGACGCCGACGACGACGACGACGACGATGACGATGACCATGACGATGCCGACGACGAGGACGAGGACGGCGACGGCGACGGCGGCGCCGACGACGACGACGCAGACGCGGACGCCGACGCCGTCGCCGTCGCCGACGATGACGAGGACGAGGACGAGGACGAGGACGAGGACGAGGACGAGGACGAGGACGATGACGACGACGACGACGATGACGATGACGATGCAGAGGACGAGGACGAGGACTGCGACGACAACGACGACGACGACGACGACGACGACGACGACCACGACGACGACGACGACGACGACGACGACGACGACGACGACGACGACGACGACGACGGCCACAGACGACGCCGACGACGCCGACGACGACGACGACGACGACGACGACGACGACGACGATGACCGTGAAGATGCCGACGACGAGGACGAGGACGGCGACGGCGACGGCGACGGCGACGGCGCCGATGGCGACGCCGTCGCCGACGACGCCGACGCCGACGCCGACGCCGAGAACGACGAGAACGACGAGAAGCGGACGAGGAGGAGCCAGGGACGGAGTCGGGGTGGGTGCGGTCCCCCTCCGAGAAGGCCGTGCGCCGCCGCCCCCTGCTGGCAGCGAGGCTCCAGGGCGACGCGGCACTGCCCAGAGGGCAGGAGGAGGAGCAGGACGAGGAGAACGAGGACGAAATCTGGGAGGACGAGGAGACGAGGACGACAAGGAGGACGAGGAGGATGAGGAGGACGAGGAGGACGAGGAGGACGAGGAGAAGGACGAGCAAGACGAGGAAGACGAGGTCCTGGCTAGGCCACGTCGGGCTCAGGCGTGGCCGGAAGGGCCAGCCTGCGACCGAGAGACGGACACGTTCCCTGACCCTCGGCATCGAGCTCTTGGTTAGTTGCTGCCCGCTTCCTACCACTCTTTCCACCTTAAGACGAGGGCAGAATCAAGACAACATCGGACCGATCTCAATCGGAAATCTCTCAGAGTCGGCGGGTTCGGAGCATGTATCAAGCGCCGCGGCCGATTCAGAGCGTGCCAAAGCGCTCTGAGAGCGTTCCGGAACGCTCTGGAACGGGTTTATCTCGATTCCAGGCCCGTCCGACACCTTCCCCTCCTCCTAACCTGCTCCTCTTGGCGAATCTGCACGGCGACCCCCCCCCTGACTGGTGCGCGGAGCCCCCAATTGGGATTCCTGCTCCTAGAGGATTCCCCGTGAATGCCAAGGGATCCTACAGGTTTCCTGACAGGCTACTCGGCAACCATCACGATTTACTTGGCAATCCTGGGGATTCCCAATGCAGTCCGAATGATTCCCTGAGAAATCATTCGGAGTTCTTTTCAACTTCCTCAGGGGTTCAAAGGGTGCCTCAAGGAATCTCCAGAGAAATCCTGCCATGTCCCAAGGAGCTGATCAAGAGAACCTAAGGATTATTTAATCGCTTCGCTCATTCCGCCGGCCCATATTGTCGCACCGTTGTGGGCTAGCCGAGTTTTGGGGGCCGTTTTGGGGCCTCTTGGGGCCTCTTTTGGGCCTCTTGGGCGCCTCTTGGGGCGTCTTGGGGGCCTCTTGGGGGCCTCTTGGGGCCTTTTTGGGGCCTCCTGGGCGCCTTCTGGGGCGGAGGGCTCGATTTTTCAGTTCTCGGTTCCCCTCTTGAGCCCCTCTTGGGCCCGTCTTGGGGCCTCTTGGTCCGTCTTGGGCGGCACTTGGGCCGTCTTGGGGGCCCTCCTGGGCCGTTCCGGGGCCGTCTTGGGAGCCTCGTGGGCCGTCTTGGAGCGGTCTTGGGGGCCTCTTGGGCCGTCTTGGAGCGTCCGGAAGCCGAAAAAGCCAGAACACAAAAAACATCGAAAAAAACAATGAAAATCAACGATTTTGGCCTCTTGGGGCTCTCTTCGGAGGCCTCTTGGAAGGCTCTTGGGGCGTCTTGGAGGCCTCTTGGGCTGTCTTGGGGGCCTTTTGGGCCGTCTTGGGGTCATCTTCGGCGTCTTCGAGCGCTCTTTGGGCGTCTCGGGGGCCTCTTGGGCAGTCTTGGGGGCCTCTTGGGGCACTCTGAGCGCGCTCTGGGGAGCCTGAGAGGCCGCACCCAGAAGGAAAACCATCTCTGAGTAGACTTGGTCGGGCGGTGGTCGGGCGGCGGTCGGGCGGCGGTCGGGCGGCGGTCGGGCGTTGGTCGGGGTACTTTTCGCCGGGGGACCCCCAGGGGCCGCCCCGCGCGCGCGAACTAGAAATACTGTTAATACTGTTAACCAGTTACCGGAGATCTTAGCACGCCCTGGCCCGTTGGGCCGGCGAATTCGGGAATACGCAGGGTTTCCTCAGGAATCCCATGGAATTTCCCTGGAATCCTAAGGACCACGGGAGCCCTAAAAATCACATCAGGAATGGAGAAACGATGGAATCCCGAGGATCTCCTCGGTAACACACCGGATTTCCTCAGCTATCCTCAGGATTACCCCCAGAACGCTTCAGAAATTAGATATACTAGTCCTGACCAGATCTTCTGCAGAATTCCTCAAGAACTCCCTGGATGAAGACCTCCTGCGGTAACTATCTGAAGGAGCTCCTCAGGGATCACACGATGGTTCCCAGAAGGAACCTGTCGTGCGCGGACTCCGCCCTCCAGCGCCTCGAGACACCACCTATAGACCCACACAGATGCGACGTGGCTTCCCCGCGCGTGACTCCCGCCCCGCGCACGCGCGCGCCCCGTCGCGCAGTGAGGCGCCACCCCGAGTCGCGGAAGGAGGACCCCCGCCAGTCGCGGAGTGAGTCCCCCGCCGCTGCCACGCAGCTGCGTCGCCCGCGCGCGAGGCCCCCGCCTGCGCGCGCAGTGCCCAGTCGCGCAGCGAGGCGCCAACACCGTCGCAGAGCGAGACCCCCACACCGACCAGTCGAAGAGCGAGACTCCCACAGGTGCGACGCCGCACGGCGCCTCCCCCCTTCGGAAGGGGCCGCGCGTGGAGGTAAAGGCCGGGAAGGCAAGGGGGGCACGCGAGGCAGGTGTTGGGGGTGGCATATCTACACTTTCTGAGTCCTTTTGTTGTGAGGCCGCTCGCTTCCATGCGGTAACATCTTCAGCCACCTGCGCAGCGCTGTCGCTCAGAAAGCTCCCAATTACTCAGGCGATCCGCCGCTGGATCGCGGACGATCAGTTCATATATAATATGTGTATAGAAACATAAATGTGTGCGTATATACCTATGCGTATATATACATCGTATACAGTGATGTATACATATATAGGCAACCGATGTGTCTGCGTATGTACATGTTATATATATACACACATATGCGTGTGCGTGTATACGCACATATGCAAATGTGCACATGAGTGTGTACTGCACATGCTTTAAAATTCGCCGGCCCAACGGGCCAGGGCGTGCTAAGATCCCCGGTAACTGGTTAACAGTATTAACAGTATTTCTAGTTCGCGCGCGCGGGGCGGCCCCTGGGGGTCCCCCGGCGAAAAGTACCCCGACCAACGCCCGGTCGCCGCCCGACCGCCGCCCGACCGCCGCCCGACCAAGTCTACTCAGAGATGGTTTTCCTTCTGGGTGCGGCCTCTCAGGCTCCCCAGAGCGCGCTCAGAGTGCCCCAAGAGGCCCCCAAGACTGCCCAAGAGGCCCCCGAGACGCCCAAAGAGCGCTCGAAGACGCCGAAGATGACCCCAAGACGGCCCAAAAGGCCCCCAAGACAGCCCAAGAGGCCTCCAAGACGCCCCAAGAGCCTTCCAAGAGGCCTCCGAAGAGAGCCCCAAGAGGCCAAAATCGTTGATTTTCATTGGTTTTTTTCGATGTTTTTTGTGTTCTGGCTTTTTCGGCTTCCGGACGCTCCAAGACGGCCCAAGAGGCCCCCAAGACCGCTCCAAGACGGCCCACGAAGCTCCCAAGACGGCGCCGAACGACCCAGGAGAGCCCCCAAGACGGCCCAAGTGCCGCCCAAGACGGACCAAGAGGCCCCAAGACGGGCCCAAGAGGGGCTCAAGAGGAGAACCGAGAACTGAAAAATCGAGCCCTCCGCCCCAGAAGGCTCAAGAGGCGCCCCCCAAAAGGCCCAAGAGGCCCTCCCCCCCAAGAAGGCCCCAGGAAACCCCCCCCCAAGAGGCCCCCAAGACGCCCCAAGAGGCGCCCAAGAGGCCCAAAAGAGGCCCCAAGAGGCCCAAAAACGGCCCCCAAGAGGCCCCAAAACTCGGCTAGCCCACAACGGTGCGACAATATGGGCCGGCGGAATGAGCGAAGCGATTAAATAAATGTATGAATGCAACGGGCCATGGGCGTGCTAAGATCTCCCGTAACTGGTTAACAGTATTTCTAGTTCGCGGGCGCGGGGCCGGCCCTGGGGGTCCCCAAACGAAAAATATCCCCGCAAGTCCCGCCAAGGTCCCGCCAATATCCCGGGCAGGTCCCGGGCAGGTGCCCGCCAGGTCCCAGCAGGCTCCAAAGAGCGCTCCAGGAGCGCTTCAAGTGGCCTCCAAGAGAGCTCAACATGGTCCGAGACGGTCCAAGAGCGATCCAAGATGCCAAAGATGGCCTCCAGACAGCCCCAAGCGCCTTCAAGAGGCC